TGCCTTGTGCCACTGCTTTTCTCTTCCTGTGAGCACAGACCAGAGGTTTTCTTGAGCTGCCCTCTCTTGGAGAGAGCAGAACTTTTTTAGGAAGAGGTACAAACTGGGTCTGAAAATGATCAGAGGTGGCAAACCCACCCCAGTCCTTTGAAAAATTATGCCTGTGTAGTTTCCTGTCCCTTTGTGGTGCCTGCAGTTAAGGGCAAAAAAGCCTTAGTCGGGCACAGAGACAAAACCTGGGCTATTTGGGGCCCTCTGCGTTACTTGCCCCATTAGACTTGGCTTGACCCCATGTCCCTGGGAGCTATGGGTGTCAGTGAGGCTCATCCTTGAAGGGACACTCTTGTGCTGCACTCCCTGAAATAACTCTGGAAAGGGGAGACCAGGAGAGCAACACCAGGGCTGCAGGGAGACTGGCAAGTGGGAAAGGAGTTGCAGGTTATAGTAAGAGCTGCATGCAGAACGCTGTTACCTCTCCTGTGGGCTTTGGTGGCACACATTCACCTGGAGGGACCTGGGGACCCAAGAGTGATAGGTAAAAAGGTTTTTGGTGAAAGGATGCCAAGGAGAGGGAAGGAAGTGTTTGGAGAGAGGTAGGGAAGGGAGTAGCAAGACTCTGGCAGCAGAGTGGGTGCCCAACTGTTTCAAAATGGGGGCAAATGTTGGAGTGGGAGGCTCCCAGGAGTTGCTGCTCCCTGAATTATGAGCGCCTCTGAGGAGGCGCTCTGATGTGCTGTGACTTCTTACCTGCAGGATCTTTTTGATGAAGAGGACGACTTGAGAAAAACCAAGAAGGCCAGGAGGAAAATGATCCGAACCACCTCTATGACCCGAGTAACATCAGTGTTTCTAACCTGTTCAAGGAAATGGGAGGAATTGGCTTACTGCCCTTCTTGCAGGGAATGCAGAGTGCACATGGAAGCAAAGGATGTAGATTGCCAGCCTGTTCCACCTTGGCAGGCAGCACCCAAGGCTCTGAGCCCTCTCTTGTCCCACCATACACAAGAGCAGACTGTTTCAAGCCATGCTCCAGCTTGTGGCCTCTACTGTATTTAGTTTGACTTTGTGTAGATGCTGCTGTGTGTGCAATACAGCTTTCACTCACTGCTGTGACATGGTCTCTCCTCTTTACCTCCCTGAGGAAGCAGAAGGCAGGCACGAGGAAAGCTAAACCATTAACAGCTCCTTTGCCTGCCAACAGAAGGGGTGAGCTACTGTACCAGCCCCTGGGTCTCCAAATGTCTTTTCGTCCTCATCCCCCTCAGCCTTGTATGTCCCGGGGCAGATTCTTTCTGAATTCCTTCCAAGCCTTCCTCGACTAGGTGGTCTGGGGAGAAGAGGGATTTAAAGGGAGAGAAAGTGCTATTTGGGACTGTAGCAGAGAGAGTCTGAGTCCCCACAGCCTCCCCTGTGGCCAGATCCAGTGGCTTCCAGCAGAGCCTGGATTTAGTCCAACTCCAGCACCAAATTTAAGGAGCTAGGGAGATCATATCTGACTTGGGGTCAATGGACTCAGGAAGGAGCCAGCAGGCTGTTAAAGAGAGCAGTTTGGGTATCACTTTAGTCATCTTACAACTAGATTTGATAGTTTCGGTGATCTCTCTCTCTCTCTCTCTCTTTTTTTTTTTTTTTCCTGCCAGCAACCGAACTTCAAGCAGAAATTTGTGGCTTTGCTTAAGAGGTTTAAAGTGACAGAGGAGGTAAGAAGGAAAAACCCTGCCCCACCTGCCAGTATCACCTGCAGATGTTTAGATGCCAGACACTGGCTTCAGCTCACTGGGAGTGCAGGGCAGGTGCTCAGGGGTGCTTGGAAAAGGGGATGTGAAGGTGGCAGCCTGTCACCAAAGATGGTGTGAGTCATGGCACAGATTTGGCCTTTCTCAAGGTCTTGAGAAAGTAGCTCTAAGCCTTGCTTGCAAATCAAAAACACTTTCCAAGAGAGTCTGCCTGGAGAGAGGGGCCCAGGGAGAAGGGATACTGGCTGTGCACTAGAGAGCTAGCATTGCAAGGGCCACACTCATCCTGGTCACTGCTGAAGGCAGGCATTAACACAAGTGCAGGGGTGACTTGGTTGAGAGCCTGCCCTGAGTGACAACGTAGCCAGCAAAGATCTTCCCACATGTCCTGACTCCAGCGAATGTGAGTGCCATAATGACAATGTCACCTGCTCCTTCCATAAGCTGGATTTGGAGGAATTTGAGGAGGAAGTGGTGGGCCTCAGGGCCGGGAGGGAGTACATGCTTGCCTGGCCTGGGTTGCAGAGTGACTCCATCACTCTTCCTCTGATTTGGTACCACAGGTCCTGGACTCTGACCCTGTGGACCAGACCCAAGAGGTAGAGGAAGACCTGGGCCTGCTCTATGACAGCCTGGAGGAATGCAATAACAGCGACAGTGGCCCAGAGATTGAGGACAACGAGAGTGTGCACAGCACGCCTAAGCCCACACTGAGGTAAGTGTTGCAGAGAGCCACAGGCCAACCTCACAGTCTAGAAAACTTGGAAGAATCATCCTCCAACACTTGTCTTTTGCTTGAGTTAATGCAGACACTACCCCATATTGCTTCCATCCTCATCAGCAAGTCCTTCCTGTGTTGGCACCTCTGAGCTTTTTACTTCCAAATCACCAAACACTTGCATGTTTTCTTTAAAAAGCTCAAAACTCCCCACTAAAACTGGCTTTCCTTGTATTTAGTCTCATTTCCTCACATCTGACATCCTTCCTAGTCTGCTGGAAGAATATCTACTTGATCTAAGTGAGTTTATGTTCTAAGCTTTTACCTCTCCTCTCTGCTAACAGTCCTGGCCTTTTCAGGCTCTCCACACCAAAGCATCTCCATCTTCTGAGCACCTTGTCCCCTCACTGCTAGAGCTGGTCCCTGTGTCCCTGCAGGATCTGCCTGCCGTGTTCTCATCCACGCAACTATCAGCAGTGGGTGACGTCCCCCCTTCCCACTCCCGAGGTGCCCAGTGCCTTGACTTGCTCAGCCAAGGTACAGCAACCCCCAGCGGATACTGTGGTGAAACCAGGCCCTTCTCCCACATGATCTGAGTTTGCCTGGCCTCTCTGTTCTTGGCTATTCTGTTTCCATCAGAAACAGAACCTTCTGTGAGAAACTCACCCAAATGTATTTTTGAAAAGTTATACGCATATCCCTTTATTGTCTCCTGCTTGGCTGCCTCACTTGCCCTGAGTCTCTCCTGGCCAAGCTTCTTTGGCATTATTTTTTTTTCTCTAATTCAGTATTTTAAGTATAGTTTGAAACAGTCTGAATTCCTGCCGAAGGTACTGAGGGGGGATACCAGACTTGATCTCACCCAGGCAAACTGTTTGAAATGTAATCAGCTGGATTCATGGGCCCCTCAGGGCACTGAGAAGGAAACAGGAACCTAAAGAGAAGTCACACATCCCTCAAATCCACAGATTGTTGCGAAGGAGATAGCAAGTGTGTGAGCAGGGGAGAGCTGCTTGGAGTTTCACATGCTCTGTCACCCAAGGCTTTAAAGATGCCATGGGGCTGTGGAAGAAGGAGGAAGATCCTTGTGTGGACAGACAACAGTTTAAAGCCCAGGATGTGAAGGTTGGAAGTGAGCTGTTGTTTCCAGAAGAGGAGGGAGGTCAGGAGGGGAGTGTGAAGGGTTGTGTGTGAGGCCATTCCTGTTCGGCACAGTTTTATAGGAAGCACTGAGCAATAATATAACTGGCGAAATTCAGTCTAGAAAAATAGGATATGTGCAGAGGGGGGAAAACCAGTCCTAGCTTTACATTTGTAAACAGTGTAAAACTATGTAAATTATAGGAAGGGTCTGTTGAGAGTGCTCAAATATAAGGCCCACCCCCACAGTGCTTTTTCTCTAAGTCCTTCCCCGCAAATGTCTGCTCACTGGGAAAACCTCCTAGCAAGGTGCTGTTGTGCTTCCCCTGCCCTTAGCTCTGGGCTGCTTTTCAGTCTGTTCACAAAGTGTCCCGAGCCTGGTTTGTCCTCTGCTGTCGTCGTTTCTGGCAGTGCTGTGTATACAGAACCCCCTGAACTCTCGTGCACTGCGTCTGTATCTCCAGGTTGATGTGAGAGATGGGTGCCCAGTTCCTTAGCTTTAATCCTGATATCCTGGGTAGCTTTGCACCCTGATTGCCTGAGGAAGTTGCCTTTCCAACCTAGCCCATACATTTAGGATGTGCTCCTCACTTTGGACTTTTCGTTGAGATAGACAACCTTGCTAGACCCCGTGCAACCGTCTGCAGTAGGGACATTCAGGTGGTCCTTGAGGCCAGCGCCCTGGCATGGACCAGCAACCTTTGGAGCAGAGAGCCATCCCTTCAAGGGGCCATGGAGACTGTGCAGTTGTAAACTGCTCCTGGACAGTGGCAAAGCTGGAGCCAGAACCAAGCCTATCAGTGACTAGCTTAAAGACCACCGCTTTTTCTGAGGTGCTCTTGGCACCAGGGACGTATCATGTCCTGGGGGAATTAAGTAAAGGTTAATGTATTCCTCTTAAGGTTTTCTTGTAGCCAATATGAAGTGAAATTGCTGACTGGGCAAGGACAAGTGTGGAATAACGACTGTACGAGGTGGTGACTCGTACAGTGCCTGGGATGCTCTAATGGAGATTGAAGAGGCAGAGAGAGCAGAAACACAGTAAGGACAGGAGACCTCAGTTGTCCTCATGTGACCTGGGGAAAATGTAGTCTTAGGGCACGAGGCTTGTGCTACATGTGTAGTTTTGGTAAATAAAAACATCCTGAAGTGGCTGGTTATGGAGTCAACAAGGGGAAAAACTCGCCCCAGACGTCAGATAAATGTTGCTGCTGAAGAGCTGCTCTGCAGTGGGGACCATCATTTACTGAGATGAAACATCCTCCTAGGAGCAATAAGAGCAAAGCACCATTGTGCCTCGTGGCACAGCATGCTGTACAGATGAGGAAATATGTTACAAAGAAACTAAGAGGCACAGCTAAGATTTCCAGAAGTCTGTAGACATCCTGCAGAAAGCTGAAAATATGCAGAGATGAAGAAAATAGAAAAGAATGGAAGCTGTGCCAGAGTGTCCTAGTAGAAGAGCTGCTCCGTTACCCACATCTGTGGCCTGAGAAAGCTACAAGCCAGGAAGCCCATCTACACTGCCCAAGCAGTGTGGGAGAACATTTTTCTGGGCGTGAAGCGCAGCTCAGGGAAGCCGCACGTTGCAGAGCTGCTGCAGCCCCTCCTCATACAGTCTGCTTGGTTGCCCCCCACAGAGTGTTCAGGGCTTCTTGGGGGACCTGCTGCCCCGAGAGGGTCCCTGTGCTGAGCAGGGGAGGTGGCAGGACCTCTGTGCAGGAGGAGAGGGGGCTGCAGCGGAGGTCTGCGAGGCCGTGGTGCCACGGCGGGGGCAGAGAGGCCCAGCAGTGTGTCCGAGTCGTGGCGTTAGCGCAGACGGGGGCCCAGCGCGGTGGGGACCTCCTCAGCCCGTTCCGCATGGCAAGGGGTAACCTGTGAGGGAAGGTGCTGCTGGCTCTGGGGCTCCCCTGGGTCACTGCCTGAGTTGTCTTTGGGCAGCGTACCAAAGTACCGCTGTGGCAGCCATGGTGCGTGGGGCTGGCAGCCTGCCAGGAGGCACCTGCCGGGCTGTGGGTCACTTGGACACGTGGGTGTCCGTCCCCATGCCCCTATGGGGGCTGCAGGGGAGGGCCTCTCTATGGGGCTCTTCACTTGGGAAATCCCGGTGACTTTGTTCCTCTCTTATTCCTGCCTTTTTCTCTCCCATCTGTCTGTCCGTCCGTCCGTCTGTCTGTTTCTCTGCAGGCGTTTCTTTGAGGGAGTCTCTCATTCTGGTTCCCAGACTGAGATCGGCAGTCTGCACAGCCAGAAAGGGCAGGAGCGAGATTCGGGCAGCCCTGTGAGTTACACCAGCACCGCCGCCTCTCGGCCCCTTCCCACCCCATCCAGCCCAGCATCCCCAAAGTGCCTGCAGCCTTGCCCTGTGTCCAGGCCTCTTAGCAGTGCTGGCCTGGGGCTGCTCCTTCCGTTCTTTCCTCTTCTTTCTCCCAGCGCAGGCAGGCAGGTAGCGATGGCCTTCTTGACAAGGCAAGGGGGCCTCCTCCGGGGCCAGCGTCAGGGGGGCA